CGGAGTCGACTCCACGGCACACTGGAACAGCAACAGGTCAAACATGCTAAAGAACTGCAAGGCCACTTACTGTTGCGGGTGGTGTGGATGGACGTGAAATGAAGAGACACCTTTGCGCTTTTGAGGCGTGTCTGCCCCCAGTATGCAATGGCCTGCAGTTCCACCATATAGCTGCTGTCTGGCTGTAGTCGCTCCAGGAGCACAGAATTGTGGGACTGCAAATAAAGACGACATATCTGAACTCATTATCCACCTTCTGCACCTCTCATCTGTACTGCAGAAACACACGAGACGTTATGAAGTCTGCCACCTCCTTTAGCTTATGTGTCTACGGTTTTCTAAGACAGAATGTTTTCATCTTTACCAGTTGAAAACTAATCCCATAGAAAGGCCAAAACATATGTTTCCTAATGATGCTCCTAATCCAACTAATGGATTGTGTCAAGCCCTTGGGAATGGCTGATTCCGCACCCCCTTGTCGATTGCATCTCACAGAGAGAGGGGAGCTGTTTGTAACTAACAGGGACTCAGGGTGGTACATTTTATGCCTTATGATGATACCTGGAAAGATAAGGAAATGGCACCAGTTCTATTTCTTTGATCTCTATTCTAAATCTTCAGTGAGTAAAGTTCTACCAAAGGTATAAGAAATATCAACCAGAAAAACATACGGTCGGATTTTTCTGCTATTATGATTGTGAATGTCAGTTTTATGTGTGTGATGTTCAACATTAAAGGAAGAAAATCAAAACAGTGTCATTTACCAATAACCTTAAGCCAGATAGGAACCTCTTGACCAAGGTCAAGATCAAGTGACCTGTTCCTGTGAACACAGCTAGTGAATAGTGAAGCCAAGGCAGAGACCTGGGTCTCCTATCTCTGAACTGACTACTTTTTCTATGGCACCCAAGTGCAGTAGAATGGTGGAGTCCTGTATAAGAGCTTGTGATGAAAGGAAATCAAGGCATTGATGACATCAGATGACTCTTGGGCCAAAGGAAGACCTATAAGTTAATGATCAAATCAGTGAGCCGCCTTTAGCAGAGTCCTGGGATGGTGCAAACAGTTAACACCTTCGACTGCTGACCAAAAGGTTGGAGGTTCGAGTCCATCAAGAGGCACCTCAGAAGAAAGACTGGCGATCTCCTTTCAAAAACTCACCTACTGACAATCCTACGTAGCCATCTATTCTGACACACATAGTTTGCCATGAGTTGGACTCAACTTGATAACATCTGGTTACTTACTGATTATCTTCAGAAATGGGAAATCATTGATTCCAAAGAAGAGAAATATGTGCTTTCTCGGGTTCTTTTGCACAGGTGGTCCCTGCTTATGATGTATTCTGAATTATGATGAACTGCACTTAACACCTGTCTTACTTTTTTAGTACGTCTCATTGTCAGTAATGTGTACTGCATAAATGTTGCACATAATGGCTGATGTTATCATTCTCAGATGTTCTCTCACAAATGTCCAATGTTATGATTTATAAATATACTGATATTAAAAGGCAATAGTAATGGAAACTAAAAAAGAAATGAGGTATTCAATTGACATCAGAAACGACTGACCACTGAGTCAGAACAGAACCCCCTTGTAAATCAGGGACAGACTGTGTTCTTCTGGTGTCTAATCCTAATCCTCATGTGATCAAACGTTCACACTGGGAACCTTAATGATTCATGTGACATGTAGCTTTCATCTTGTGGACTGAAAAATACTAGTCATTCAAAAAACTCACCCATGATTTGGGCTGCTCTGGGGCTCTGACCAATTAGAACTGAATTTGCAGTTCACATTGTATTCATCTGATTGGTCTGTGACAGAAATGAATTGCCACTTTTCCTCCTATCCTTTGATGCTACAGGCTCTCAGTGGACGGGGGTGAGGGAGTTAGCATCTCAGCCTGTGCCCTTTGCTTTTCCATTTCTGTGACACAGTGTCAGCTCTTAGTTGGTTCCATGAGACAGACAGGCAGCACCTCCACTGCCTGTAAAGCCCTTCATAATCTAAGGTGGAACTGCCTGAAAGGGCCTTAAAATTAAGAACCAAGAGTTTAACGACTATCAGTGACAGCAACTTTTGGTGACGTATATATTTTTAAAGGGCACACATACAGGAATCTTTAGTGCAAAAAAAAAAAAAAAAAGCCCTCTCATCTTTTTAAGTCTTTTCAAAAAGGCTTTCAAAACTACACGTGTGTATTTCTGGAGTTCATTTTGTGAATTGGGGGGACGGGTGTTTATGTGAGTTTTATAATGACAAGATAAAGAAACACACACTAAAGGAGGCTTGAGAACTTCTGTAGACGACATTTCATGTGATTCAAAACGCTCGCTATCACAGACATCTCACGGCAGAAAATGGTTCAACGAAGATTTTATTTCCTGGAATCTTGGGGGGAAATGGTAAATTCTTCCAATCAGTGAGAAAAACATAGTGTCAAACGTGCACATGCTGGGCTGCTCAGTGTTCCCCTGATTAGAGCACAGATGGAAACACCATGCGACAGAAAAACCTGGAAATTTGCTTCTCAATGTACAAGGAACACTAAAAAAAAAAAAAAAAAAAACATTGACCCATGTCACTTTAGTTTTGTGTACTTCACTGTACATAAATTACATTTCAATAAAATGCATTAAAAAAAAAAGACCTAACGGTATGGACGTTCAGAGTTACGATCTTGCTAGTTGTTCCTCTGATGTCATGGCTGCCATTTTGACATGAGTAGGAGTCTCTGGGTGGCAAAAACTGTTGAGTGCTTGACTACCGGGCAAAAGGCCAGCAGTTTAAACCCACCCAGGGGTGTCTCGGAAGACAGGCCCATAACCTGGAGAGCCGCCGAGCGGTTCTACTCACACACAGGGTTAGCAGGAGTCAGAGTTAACTGGGTGGCAACTAACCACAACAACAGGCCCCACACCTAGGCAATTCGGCCACTGAAAAGGCAGAACTGTTGTCAGGCTCTCCATTCTCTGAATGCCCGCACTCCAAGAAAAATGTGGGAAGCTTCCAACCCTTCCCTTCTGTTAGCTCAGCAAAGGCTTCCTCTCATGTTCTGTGAGTTAAATGTCCATGGCATTGAGAGCACTCCTCCTTCCAGGTTCCCACTTACCCCATCTGTAGTCTTTCTCCTCTTCTTTTTGGTGGGGACAAGGGACTTGCTGCTGACCGTCCAGCTCCAAAATACTTTGTAGTGATGCACGGGGATATCTGGTTCCTCGGGAAGATCCCAAACGATCGCCACGGTCACGCTGCCATCACTGTTGATGGTGGAGTTTGCAAGCCGGAGATTAGCCGGAGCTGGTGGTGCAGATGGGTCTGAAATCCCAGTCAAAAGACAAGCCGTTTTACTCAACAACCAAGGATGACGACACAGCCGAAATACTTACGCACGTAATGACAACTTTCCAAGGCACGAAGCATTGCCCTTCATATGCTGAAAAACAAGCACTAGGTAAAAAACCGGTTGCCGTGGAGTCGACTCTGACTCCTGGCGCCCCCATGTGTATCAGAGAGGAAGTGTGTTCCACAGGGTTTGCAATGGCTTACTTTCAGAAGCACATCACCAGACCTTCCAAGGCGCCTCTGAGGGCACTAGAACTGCCAACCTGTCAGTTAGCAGCCAAGCCTGTTAACCATTTGCACCACCCAGGGCTCCAAGCACTTAGTAGGATTCCCCTTTTTAGGGGATCTGAACACAGTCTATACAATATAGTCTTAAAATACAGCCTATAAATCACACCACACACTCTTTTGGTCCAATTTTGTAATACACAGTGCTCCTTCTAGGCATTTCCATACCAAAACTTTCCAGGCAAACTTTCACTGTCTTGAAATTAATAATTTTCTGTAAAACACACTAAAATTGTTTGTGGGTTAGTTGATCTAAATAGATAAGCAAAGTTGAATCACTTTTGTACACTCTGAAAAGGAAAAGATAGGAATCCAATTCAAAGAGCTGTTTGCATTTTAGGGGTCCTGCAGCCTTTGATCCTTGCTTCAGTCAAGAGCGGCAAAGACAGGTGAGAAAGCAAATTGCCCCATTTTTGATCCTCATCACCGACTGGCTGACTGAAAGATAATAGCCATTGTTGTAATTTGACTATTTCTGGTTTGTCTCACAAACCAAAGCCTTCTCTGCTGTCAAGAGAGAGATTAGGTTCTGGAATTATTACTCTACAAATCCCCATGTGAAATACATACACGTGAAGATGACTAAATATGTGTTAAGCTGGAAGGTCTTGAAGTGATGTGCCCCACTGGGCAACACTCTGCAGAAGAGCTCATTAGTTGTTAAAAGCATGGATGGCACTTCGAGGGCTGAGTGCACTTGACCCACACCAGGATTTTTTCAATTGCCTCACATGCACGCAAAGGCTGGACAGTGAATAAGGAAGACTGAAGAAGAAGTGATGCCTTTGAACTAGGTTTCAGTGAAGAACATTGAGTATACCAGGGATGGCCAGAAAAACAGATCTGTTTTGGAAGAAGCACAGCCAGAGTGTTCCTCACAAGCAAGGATGGTGAGACTTTGTCCCCTGTGCTTTGGCCACATTGTCAGGAGGGACCAGTCCCAGGAGAAGGCTATCATGCTTGGTAAAGTAGACGGTCAGGGAAAAGGGGGAAGACCCTCAATGAGATATACTGACACAGTGGCTGCGACGATGGGCTTCAGCATAGCAGCGATTTCAAGCATGATGCAGAACTGAGTCGTGCTTCGTTTTGTTGTATGGTGGCTCGCTATGAGTCAGAACTACTCGCAACACCTAACAAGGGGTCTCCACTTCTTGTTTTGCCACAAATTGAGCAAGTGTGGCTGCTTCTCACCACAAAGGATTTATAGGAGCTTTGTTTTCAAGATGCCTCCACAGGAAAAGTGTTGCCTGTAGTTCAAACTATAATACCACCTGCATGGAGGTGCAAAGAATATCTTGTTCGTTTTTGTTAAGAGTTGGCTCCGGCGACTGTGTACTGCAGAATAGAACTGCACTCCACAGAGTTTTCCTGGCTGTAATCTTAGCATAAGCAGCTCACCAGGCCTTTCTTCTGCAGTGCTGCTGAATGGTTCGAACCACCAGCCTTTAGGTGAGCCGCTAAGCACAAACCATTTATACCACCTAGGGACCTTAGGTCACCACTAGTCTGTCAGTTTGTCATACTGTGGTGGCTTGTGTGTTGCTGTGAGTCTGGAGACTGTTCCATCAGTGTTGCAAATACCAGCAGGGTCACCCATGGTGGACAGGTTTCAGCAGACCTTCCAGACTAAGACAGACTAGGAAGAAGGAAGGGGCCATCCATGTCTGAAAGAACTGGCCAGTGAAAACCTTAGGAATAGCAGTGAAACACTGTCTGATATATTACAGGAAAAAATGATGACTAGCCCTGAAACATTGTCCAGAAGCTTTATGAATAGCCCTGAAACATTATCTGATATAGTGCCAGAAGATGAGCCCCTTAGGTCGGAAGGTACTCAAAATACGACTGGGGAAAAGCTGCCTCCTCAGAGTAGAGCCAACCTTAATGATGTGGATGGAGTAAAGCTTTCAGGACCTCCATTTGCTGACGTGGCATGACTCAAGATGGGAAGAAACAGCTGCAAACATCCATTAACAGTCGGAACATGGAATACACCAAGTATGAATCTAGGAAAATTGGAAATTGTCAAAAATGGAATGGAATGCATAAAGATCGATGTCGTAGTCATTAGTAAGCTGAAATGGACTGGTTTTGGCCATTTTGAATCAGACAACCATATGATCTACTATGCTGGGAATGACAAAATGAAGAGGAATGGTGTGGCATTCATCATCACAAAGAATGCCTCAAGATCTCTCCTGAAGTACAATGCTGTCAGTGATAGGATAATATCCATACGTCTACAAGGAAGAACAGTTAATACCACTATTATTCAAATTTATGCACCAACCACCTAAGCCAAAGATGAGGAAATTGAAGATGTTTATCAACTTCTGCAGTCTGAAATTGACTAAACATGCAATCAAGATGTATAGATTATCACTGGCGATTGCAATGCAAAAATTGGAAATAAAGAAGAATCACCAGTAGTTGGATAATATGGCCTTGGTGATAGAAATGTTGCTGGAGATCACAAGATAGACTTTTGCAAGACCAATGACTTAGTCATTGCAAATACATGTTTTTTCAACAAAACAAATGGCGGCTATACACATGGAGTTCGCCAGATGGAGTGCACAGGAATCAGATCGACTACGTCTGTGGAAAGAGGCGAGGGAAAAGCTCAATATCTTCAGCCAAAACAAGGCCAGGAGCAGACTGTTGAACAGATCATCAATTGCTTGTATGCAAATTTAAATTGTAGCTGAATAATATTAAAACAATTCCATGAGAGCCAAAATACAACCCTGAATATATCCCACCTGAATTTAGAAGTCACCTCAAGAACAGATTTGATGCATTGAACACCAATGACCAAAAATCAGAGGAATTATAGGATGACATCAAGAACATCATCCATGAAGAAAGCAAAAGGTCATTAAAAAGACAGGAAAGGAAGAAAAGACCAAAATGGATGTCAGAAGAGACTCTGAAACTTGCCCTTAAATAGAGAGTAGGTAAAGCAAATGGAAGAAATGACAAGATAAAGGAGCTGAATAGAAGATTTCAAAGAGCAGCTCAAGAAGACAAAGTCAATTTTTATAATGAAATGTGCAAAGACCTGGAGTCAGAAACCAAAAGGGAAGAACATGCTTGGTATTTCTCAAGCTGAAAGAACTGAGGAAAAAAAAAAATAAGCCTCAAGTACCCATATAGAAAGATTCTATGGACAAAATATTGAATGATGCAGGAAACATCAAAAGAAGATGGAAGGAATACACAGTCACTGTGCCAAAAAGAATTGGTCGATGTTCATCCATTTCAGGAGGTGGCATATGTTCAAGAACAAATGGTATTGAGGGAAGAAGTTGAAGCTCCACTGAAGGAAACGGTTAAAAACAAGGCTCCAGGAATTGACAGAATACCCATTGAGATGTTACAACAAATGGATGCTACACTGGAGGCACTCACTCGGCTATACCCAGAAATTTGGAAGACAGCTACCTGGCCAACTGACTGGAAGAGATCCATATTTGTACCCATTCCAAAGGCATCCAATATCATTAATATCACATGCAAGTAAAATCTTGCTGAAGATAATTCGAAAACAGTTGCAGCAGTATATTGACCTGGAACTTCCAGAAATGCAAGCTGGATTCAGAAGAGGACATGGAACAAGGGATGTCATTGCTGATGTCAGATGGATCTTGGCTGAAAGCAAAGAATACCAGAAAGATGTTTACTTGTGTTTTATTGACTATGCAAAA